AAATTGGTAATTCCCCCCCCCCCCTCGGCTCAGGAAGCCGGCTTGGACTGCCTATGGACCGACTAAGTATCTTGTGACTGTCCTCGTGATCACACCCATTCTCGAAAGTGACCCTCATACACTCGGATAGTTATGAGAGAAGGCAGATTAGCAGCAAATCCTCAACTTTTCCTTATCGTCATTTTATCGGTCACAGCAGAATCCCATTTCACCTGTTCCTTACTGATTCGCAGCAACAGGATTCTCTTTTAGCTGCTAGGTATTGTTTTCTGCATGATGTGCTGTCTGAAGCAAAAACAGCGACTGCTATCCCTAATTCGCCACACTTTCGCTTCAATCTTTCATCCTCCTCCACCATCCTGTTGTGCCCAGATAATGGCATTATTGCAGTCCAACTTTACAATTACAAAAAAAAGGAAAATACCGAAAATACCTTTTTAGGTGGATTGTGACGATTAAATTCTTCTGCCCAAAGTTTGCTATCCATCTGCAACTTCACGTCTTCAAAAAAAACCTGTAACAGGCTAGATGAATGCGGAGGGATGATCGCACACAACAATATTACATAACATTAAGAACGGACAACAGACCAGAGGGAACAGCGAAGGAGGAAAGAAGAGGGGAAAGAGAGGGGAGGAGAATTATGAAAATTGGAGATAATTCCTCTAAGTAAAGCTACTCTGAAAATCCTCACTCAAAACAGTTTTACTGTTTTTCCGCGTTCCGCTGCCCAAAATAGAGCATTTTCTCTTTTAGCTTAATTTCATGCTTTTTAATGCAATACCCACACAATTTTTGCAATTTCTTGTTCCGTGCGAAGCGAATCTGGCGAATCGCTTGTGTCAAAAAAGAACAACAATGTCTCTCAAGATGTTTACTAGGCGTGCTTCTACGTGCATGGTTCGGACAAGAAAAGTAGCCACCCCAACAAATTTTTCTCCAGCTCTGTCCATTCTTCCAATGTGTACTATTGATTTAGCTAAATACAGCACACCGGTTCACTCACTACCATTTTTATGCGTTTTTTGCTATGCAATGCAGAAAACGCACGACGAAAAGTTGCCTCTGTGTGTCTGCCTGTCTGTGCGCTGCGCGATTGTACCGATTTTTCACCTCGAGACTTAAAAAAGCTACAGGGCTAAACCTCTGCGAACTTAAGCTACATGCATGTAGGACCTCACCCAAAAACGGGCGGTCTTGCCCGCGTGGTATCTACGTACAGGTCCGTGAAAGTTTTTTGCCGGTAAGTCGCTAACTAGGGAACCAGAAAAGCTAGAAAAATGAAATTTCAAGGGGGTGCTGCCTGACACTTTTGGCGGTCAGTCTTAATTTGTTTAGCTAGAAGCATTTGTCGGAAAAACCGGTCCTGAGAGTAACAAAAACTGCGGGAAACTATGCTAAAAACGAATCTTCGCAACAGCAGCCGGTGCGTTAGCCATTTTTTTTTTGCACATCCGATCGTAGAAGTTCCCTCTTTCAACTTACACATACTCGCC